TCTGACTGTGAACCATCCCTCTATTTCTTTGAGATAACTATGTATTTCTTACCATTCAGGAGCACAAGGACCTGGAAGCCATTCATTTAAAAGGAATCATCAGAGGGGATGGGCCTCTCTCTCCCAGCTCTGGGAGAATGGAATCTTGACTTTGATGATGTCAGCTAACAGACACAGCTGACCTAATTAGCATGCACACAGACCAAGCCTTTGTAATTATTCACTTCCCTGACTCTGCTGGGTCCCTGTTCTCCCCGTCTTCTCCTTCAGCCCCTTTTGAAACACTCAGCCACCCCCACAAACAAAGCTGGGGTCAGTGCACCCTGACCCTCCACCCTGCAGCAATAGTATACTATTGACTAAATCTGTCCTTCACACTTTAACTAGCATCTGACTTTGTTTCTCTTTGACACTTGCTTCTTAGAGCATGCCTGGTCCTGCAGCATGGCRCTGAGAGCACAGTAGATGCTCAGTATTTCCTGACGGAGAAAATACTTCCTTTGTTCYAGTTCCCTTTGCTGCGTAACAAACCATCCCAAAGCATCATGCTGTAAAACAACCACTGTCTTCTGCCTGTGGACTCTGTGGCCAGGGATTTGAATAAGGCATCTTTCTTCTCTGTTCCATGCTGCCTGGGGCCACAGTTGAGATTACCTGAAGGTTGGGCAAAGTGGGAGTGGCTTCAGGTGTCTCAGAGCCTCCATCTCCCACAGTCTACTGATTGAATAGTTAGAGGCTTGCCTATTCCAAAGAGGAAGGATTAAAGAATTTGCAGCTTAGTTTCACAATTGCCCAACTACCAGAGCCAGGTCTGGTGGTACTTCTCTTGCAATTAGTCCTTTGTATGAGTCAGGATTCAAACTGGCTACATAGGATGGAAAACACAAAGACGGTGACTTAAATGAACAGACATTTACGTCTCTTTCACAGAGGAGAGAGTCAGGACTGGTCGAGGGTCCACAGGGTTAAGTTTCTGTTTCACCATTCTCTCAGTGGATAACTTTTACCTCATGACCCAAGTTTTCATATCTACTATCTGGCCAGGAAAAGGAAGGATAAAGAAGTGTCCTTTAAAGACACTATCACAGGCTCCCACCCCCTGCATTATTAGCAGGGGATATAGTCAAAGACCTCCCAGTGGATGCCTGAAATCTCGGACAGTACTGAACATTATATATACTGTATTTTTTCCTATATTTTATCTACGATAAAGTTTAACTTATAAGTTAAATTTATAAATAGATCAAGAGATTAGCAATAAATAATAATAAATTAAGAAAATCATTTCAATATACTATAATAAAAGTTACGAGTCATCTCTCTCCCAAAATATCTTATTGTACTGCAGGTCTTAGTAACCTTAGCACATGGTTTCTTATCTTTCCTGATTCAGTTGAGAACTTTCACATGTTTACTTAAAGGAACCACTTTACAGCATCTCATTGACTATCCCAATTGTCACCTTGCACTTTGGGGCCATTATTAAGAAAAATAAGGGCTCCTAGAACACTCCTAGAGCACTGTGAAATCTCATCAGTTGGTGTGATAACCAAGAGGGTTACTAGGTGACAGGCAGTAATACGGCATGGACACTTTAGACAAAAAGATGATTCATGTTCCAGGCAGAACAGTTTGGGGCAGTGGGGGATTTCACCATGCTGCTCAGAGGGCATGCAACTTGAAATTTATGAGTTTGTTTATTTCTGGAATCTTTCATGTAATATTTTTAGACGGTGGTTGACCATGGGAGACTGCAGGAACCAAAACAGACAATGAATCAGGGTAAAGGGACTACTGTACTCAGGAGTCCCACTTGACACCACCACTAGTGGCCCATCAGTGGCACATTTAGTCACATGGCCATTCCTGGCTGCAAGGGAAGCTGGGAAATCTAGTCTTTATTCTACCAAGAGAAACAAATTAAAAAATCAAAGCTTCTAAGTGGGTGTGGTGGCATATACCTGCAGTGCCAGCTACTTGGGAGGCCAAGGTAGGAGGATCACTTGAGCTCAGGAGTTTGAGGTCAGCCTGGGCAACATAGTGAGACCCTGTCATGAAGGAGAAAGAAAGGAAGGAGAGAAGGAAGGATGGATTGAAGGAAGAAAGGGAGGTTGGGTTGTACTGTTAAGAAAGAAGAGAAAGGATATTGGCAGACATTTGGCAGTTTCTTTTTTCTTTTTACTCCTTGCTATTTCCTGTTCTTCTACCCCCAAGCCATGGCTTTGGACAACACTTTTTTTTTTTTTTTTTAATCACCARTTCCTTGTACCGGTTCCCAGGAAGGAGGATATGCAGTCTATAAGGAAGCTCAAAGTACCAGATAAACACACTAATGCTCTGGCTTCAGGGAGGGAAACTGGAGCCCCACCCAGTCAGGCTTTTTGTTTGTGGGATGGTCCCCTGGGCTTCTTCAAAGATCTTGAAAACTCCCTGATTAGATGATGACTAGATAACCACAGAGGCTCCTTGGGGAATTGTGTTTGTTGTCTTTGGGGAGTAGCCCGACCCTGCACTTCACCAGGCTGTGCCCTTCCTCAGATACCCCCAGTGAACTCAGACCCACACCTAAGCAGGTCACGGGTGAGATGGCAGGCAGCTGCTGATGCTCTGGGCACGCACTGTGACTCTGTACCAAGCTCTGGGATCTCGAAGCTCATATTCTAAATCTTTTCATTCATTCTGCTTATGAGGGCAGGGTGTGGATTCAACACTGTTCAATGTATCAAATGCCTTAACAAAGCGTGATGGTAGTGAGGGCTGAATTGTGCCCACCCCCCCCCCATCATGACATTTTGAAGTCCTAATTTCCAGTAACTATGAATGTGACCTTATTTGGAATTAGAGTCTTTCCAGATAGAATCAAGTTAAAATGAGGTCCTCAGAGTAGGCCCTCATCCAATATGACTCTTCTAGAAGAGTAAAAGGGACACTGTTGTGAGCAGTGCTAGTAATAATTATTTGAAGGTGGATTGTCTTTAAATGCAAACATATATTCTATCACATAAATCACCAAATATAAATGATTAATGCAAAAAGTGTTGGGTGTGTGGGAGCACCCCAACTAGTATTCAGTGCACACTAATTAAACACTATAAGCAAATCACACAATCCTAGGGCAACCACGAGCCCCAAAATATCTCTGATGCCACGTGACTTCTCTTAGCCAAAGAGCACACGTTGTCCTTGTCTGGTGGTTCTCTCCAGCTAATGGCTGGATGTCAGGGAATGGTGGAGTGAGTCCAGGGCAGAACAGCAAGGTGGCCAGTCTCTTGGATGTCCTTGGAGCAAAAACTCTTCAATGTGGCAGGACCAGCAATTTAAATACACTTCCAAGTTGGTGGTATACGCTGGTGACTGGTTACACCTAGTGAAAGTCAATGTCTATTGGTTATGTCCAGTGAGGTGATGTAATTGCAACTGGGCATGCATGTTCTTTGCACATGTCCATGGAGCTGTACTCCTTATCAATTGTAACCAGTCATTGCTAAGCATCAGGGTAAAGGGACTATTATACTCAGGAGTCCCACTTGACACCACTATGGCTAGTGCCTCTTGCAGCTCCTTATCAATTGCAAACACACATGACTAAGCAGTTCAATGGCCGCTGTTCCTTATGGCTGGCAACTTAGTGAGTCCCAGCATGTCCTAGCATGTCTATGGCAGATGTTCCTTATAGACACCCAGACAGAAATGCCCTGGAAGAAAGCTGTGTCACTGTGGAGGCAGAGACTGGGCCTGTGGAGCCACAGCCAAGGAATGCTAAGCCTTGTTGGCAGCACCAGAAACTGAGAAAGCTATTGAACAGCTCTCCCCTGAGGCCTTCAAGGAAGTAGTGCCCTGGTGACACCTCAAGCTCAGATATCCAGCTTCCAGAACAGCAGGAGAGCAGATTTCTGCTGTTTTAAGGAATCATTTATGTATGTTATGACAGCGGTAGGAAACAAGAGATGTCAACTTGAATAGGCTCTAACCCCAGCTATTCAATCAAACTTCATCTGGGCATTGCAGTGAATGTGGATGTGATTAACATCTGTAATCAGTTGACTTTAACTAATGGAGATTATCTGGATGGGCCTGACTCACTCTGCTGAAAGACCTAAGAGCAGAAGACAGGCTGACCTGGAAAAAAAAAAAAAAATCTGCATGTGGACTGCAGTCTCAGCTGATGTCTAAGTTCTGTCTGTCCTTGCTGAGGACCTGCGGGTGGATTTCAGATTCGCCTAACCAAGCCCCCACAGTTGTGTGGTTCCTTATAATTAATCTCTTAATATACCTCCCACTGGTTGTGTTTCTCCAGCAAAACCCTGACTAACACAAGGGGATGATGCACTCTTGAAATATGTTTGCCTAAAAGGCTGGTCGAGCATGGCTTAGTGGGAAGGGCATTTCAAGCAGAGGAAACAGCATGTATCAAGGCTTAGAGTAGCAAAGCCTGGCTTCCCTCCTTACCTGCGGATGGGAGGTAAATGCTGCAGTGTTTATCTAGCCTCATTCTTTTATTTTRCCCCTAAGAGGAAGTCGCATCCCTCATCCCAGTCGTGGCCTGGTTATTCCAGCACCCTTAGAGCTCTCTCTTTCCCTCCCCCCAAAAAACTTTCAGCCAAGACCTGGGGTACTTATCACTAATGGATGCCCTGGGTGTGTATGTGCAATTTATGTGTTTTTCTGAAGGTATAATTTGCTCCTTTGATCAGTTTCTTGGAGGTGTCCTGGTAAGTGAAGGATAAGATACACAGCTTTGGACAAATAGGGAGCCCTTCGAGGGGTTTATTTCCAGGGCCCCAAAACAGTATGGTATTGGGCTGGCCCTGCGGGAGTCAGCGAGACAGCCTCACTGCGCCTCAAGTGTCCTCCTCATCTGTAAAATGGAGTTGACAATCCGGGGTGACCCTCTTAAATGAATAGTGTAAAGAGCAGATGAGATAAGGGCAGTAAAATCTTCAGCGCTCTGCGACTGAGGAGAGCAAAGCTAGGTCTTCTTCGGCGACCACCCTAATTACGCACCCCAGCCGGAGRAGGAAGCCCAAGTCCGCCCACGTGGGGGCCCATTCAGGTGGGGGTGCAGCATTGGCTGCCGCCGGGAAGGGGCGGTGCGCAGGTGGGGCGGGCCTGGGGCGGGCCAGGGGCGGGGCGGCTCGCGGTTCCGGGATCCGGGTCCGGCCTCCGGCCGCCGGCTCGGGGCGCGCCGACCGCTGGCCGCAGCTGGCAGGCGCATGTTGGGGCGCGCAGCGCGGCGGCGCTGCCCGCGGGGGCTGCGGCGCGGCCGGGAGGCGCTGCTGGCCGTGCTGGTGTTGCTAGCATTGGCCGGGCTGGGCTGGAAACTTCGGGAACGACGTGGGCCCACGGCTGGAGCCGGGGCCAGGGACACCCAGCTGAGACCCCAGCGCATCCCGCGCACGGGGCGGCGCGAACCGGTGCTGCCGCGGCCGCCGGTGCCTGATGACGCACTGGGCGCGCGGGGCGAGGCGGTGCGGTTGCAGCTGGAGGGCGAAGAGCTGCGGCTGCAGGAGGAGAGCGTGCGGCTGCACCAGATCAACACCTACCTCAGCGACCGCATCTCGCTGCACCGCCGCCTGCCYGAGCGCTGGAACCCGCTGTGAGTCCAGCGGGCCGCGGATGCGGAACCTGGGAAGTGGCTGCGGGAACCGGCGCGCGTCCTATCGAGTCGTCCTAGACGGAAGGCAGTGGAAGGAGTCAGATGGGGTGCGGTTAGGCGGGAAATTGAAAGACACGGACGTGGGAAAGTCTCAGAAATTGACGAGTCTGTTATTAGCTGGTGCCTTGGCTCCCTGCTCCTGGAAAGTTGTCATTCTGCTCTGCAAAGGGTGGGGATCGGGGTTAAGCGGACAGGTTTAAGGTGAGTACAGCTCGGCCCCGAAGGATGGCCACACCTCTGCACATGTAGCTGCTCCTGGGGCAAGCCTGGCTCCATTCATTCCTGTGGGTCTCACAGGAGAGAGGAACACAGCAGGGGAGGTGAAAGTGGCTGAAAGACGGAGCCTGAAAGCCTCCTTCCCTCTCCTTGGGAGTTGGACTCCTGATCTTCGGGTGTAGGCAGGTGGAAAGGAGCGCTTGATGGGAAGGGCACCTTTGGCCTTGGTCCAACCCTTGCTTGATCTTGTGGGTGGTGCGGTGTGGCCAGTGTGATCAGAGGCCTAGTTCCTGTTGGAGCCGCTGACCCAGCTAATTGTGCCCCTTTATAAGTGGGGGAGGGAGGCAAGAGAACACGAAGGAGGAAAGCCAGGGGGCTGCCRCCACTTGGCCTCTGTACTTTGAGTCGTCAAGGATCTTCCAGTTCCCACTTGAACCTCCTCCTTTCAGACTTTACTGAAAGAGGGCCCTGGAGGTTTCCTGTTGGAGCCAGAGGGGGCAGTCTGGAAAACAGGCAGAGAGGGTAGGTGACCCTCAGCTGGAAGATGGGGGAACCAGCCCTGGGAGACTGTGACCCTAGGGCCCCCTTGGCACTGTGCTGACCTCAGGCAGTTTTGATGGGCTTGAATTTCATGTCCTCCCTGCTTTTCAGAATCTGCTCACACCTAGCCCCCTGCTTCTGCTGGATTCATTTTTTTAATGTTGATTTTGTTGTTGTTTTTGAGTAAAATGCTCTTGGACTTGATAGCTGCTCCCCTCCTTTGGCAAAGCTGCTTAATACATGCTTAGCTCCTTGAAACCCCGAAGGTGCTCACAGAAACCAGGTCAAGGGGAAACTTTCGGGTCACACCCAGGGTTTAACCCTGGCACCTGTGAGATAAAATCCTGGCTTCTTTTGCTTACCAGCTCTGTGATCTTAGACAGGTTATTTAGGCTCTCGGAGCCTCAGTTTCCCCATCTGCAAAAGAGGAAACTCATAAAAGTCAGTACATAAAAGTGGGCAGAAAGAACATAACCTTGAACTTAATAAGATTAACACCTGGGAACACACTGTGTACTCATTCATAATTTTTTCCTCCTTTCCGTATTGCTTAGAACATACTCAGGAGGTTGCTTTTGAGAATTATCYGGAAACTGATCATAAAGTTTTTCTTGTCTGGGTCCAACTTCCTTTATTGTTTAAGGTTGGTTGTGAATGTGGATGACCTGTGAGGCTTATGGTGTCCTGTCTCCATGGTGATGCAGCTGCCCTGTGTTTTCAGGATTGKCGAATAGATCCTGCTGTTGTATTGACCCTGGGAAGTTAATCCAAACCCAGCATGATGGGCSTGTGAGTGTCCCTGCCTGTAATTCCTGCTGCAGAACCTGTTTCCTTATTCTCACCTAGCCTGAGAGAGGGGTGGACTTGAGTTGTCTGAGTCTCAGCTGGGCCAGACTTTGAGGCAGTTTCTGAGTGGTCACTAGGTTCAGGGCCTTGAATAAAGTCTCACTTTTATTATATAGTAATTCCTCACTTATTCTCAGGGGTAGGTTCCCAGATCCTCAGTAAATGCCTGGAACTGAGGATAGCAGTGAACCTATATACTAAGCACTGTGATACCCAAGAACTGTAATGGAGATGGCTGCTAAGTGACTAACGGGTGGGTAGTATATACAATGTGGATRCACTGGAGAAAGAGATGATTCATGTTCCAGGTGGAATGGGTTTTCATCATGGTACTCAGAAGGGCATRCATTTAGTTCGAAACATGAATTGCTTATTTCTGGTGTTTTTCATTTAATATGTTTGGTCTGTGGTTGACTGGCTAACTGAAAATGAGACCACAGATAAGAGTAGACTCCAGTCAATGAAATAGTGAGAAGCTACTCAGAGTGTTGCTGTTAAGCCTGAGAAACTAGCATGGCAGATTATTAGTTAACAGTGCAGGGGTGAGATCCTTGGATGTCAGAGGAGAGAGGGTCCTAAGGGGACATCCAGTCAAACCAAAGGAAAAGCCATACCCCTAAGGTCACAAAGCAGGTCCGAGATAGAGCTGGCCTACAATCCAGATCTTTTGTCCATTTTCCCCTTTTGGGGTGAGGACAATTATTTATCTGTTTAATTATAATGTCGATATTTGCTCTAGAAATTKTAGTATACATAAAGAAACAAAAAGAAAAAAAATCATCAATCAATTCACAATTCAGTGTGTCTGCCCCCTTGGATGGGGCCAGACCAAGAAAGAGATATCTTGGAGGTTGGCTATTCTTCTGTTAAGACCCATGTAGAATCTGATCATTCACATGCCTTTGGATTAGAGCACAGTTTTATTTCTATCTGCCACAGTACTGACTTGAGAGGATAATGATGGACTCCTTGAATGATCATGTAGTAAATATGGGGTTTGTACCGCTGTCACAAATATCCTCTCATTTGATCCTAGTGAGGAGGGGGAACTTGTGCTCTGCGATGATAGCAAGCCAAAGTGGATGCCAGATAGCTGGGGGAACTTTTTAAAGACATTGATGCCAGGAAACTTGGCTGGAACAATTAAATCAGAATTTAGGCTGCTTGTAATGTGCAGCGAGGTCGAAAGCTGCTGATCTAGTGTCTGYGGATTTCTGACTCGGAAGATTCAGGGTGGTGCTTTGGCTGGTGCGGGGAATACGAAAGTTAGAGGGAGCAGGGATTATAAGAAGTCAAGTGCCATTGAAACTAGTGGTAACAACCCCGTCACTCAGGAAGTAGGCCACAAGCAAGGGATTATAAATGATGTTGTACCTAAATTTAAAACATTTTTAGTTTTCATAAAATACAGGAGCATTGAGATGATCACTGAGATAGTGCCATTGCCCATAGCACTCTGACCCATGTAGCCAAAGAACAAGTGGAGAGGCAGTGGGCCTGTAGCTGTGCATTTCACCCTGTGCACCTCCAGGAGCACAATGTATGTGAACACCAGTGTTCTCTTCTGTGCACCATTGGCCAGGAACGCATGTAATTGCTTTGTGGTTCTTGACTGCTTGCTCTGATTTTAATCTTGTTAATGTTACAACTGTGGATGTGTGCCTGAGATCAGGGATTGAGATTTGGGATGACAGAGTCTCAGAGTCACTCTACATAGGTCATTCAGCAAAACCAAGTGTCCTGCTGGAATCCGCAGGAGGGACTTGGACAGGATTTCTCTTTCTGCAGAGAGTTAGCCTGCTTGTCTGTTCTCCTAACAAAATTATCTTTGTAAAACATCTCACATGGTATGGATGTTACTTTTGCTTCCCCCATGAGGATGTAAATCGCAGGGTGTTTTGTTAATTCTTAGTAGACGCATCCCGTTTTATCAGAGCGGCTTGCTTTCTCTGAGTCAGTACCTTAGATTCCACAGAACCTGTTCAGTTTTGGTCAGYGTTTTCATTATAACTTTTCCCTTCCCTGTTCTTCCCCTCTATCCATCTACTTGAGGAGTGTTTTTGAAAAAAATGTTGCTCTACTTTGTGTTGTCATAAAAAAAAAGTTCTAGACTGACAGTCTTTGACTTTTAACTAGATATTTACGTCCATTTATATTTATTGTGCTTACAGATATCTTCGGATGCCAACTTAGTTTATGCTATTTGTTATGCTCTTCTTAATGTYTTTCTCTCTCGTTTTCCTTGTCCCTTTTTGGTGGGGCTTCCCCCATCTCATTCCATTTTCTTCACTACTAATTTAGCAGTTCTATTATCTCTTTCTGATCTTTTGCCTAAAATCCTCTATTCACTTTTTAAAAAAATACGGATAAGTCACTGTCAACCAAAAGAATCCTGACTAATACATAGGATAATATATATTAGTCAGGATTCTTTTGGTTGTCAGTAACTAAACACCCAATTAAATATAAAGAAAAGAATACTAGCTTCTAGCCCAGAAAAAGACAAGGGTCAGAGGAAGGTTTATGTTATGCTGTGCCTTGGATTCAAGGATACAAATGCTCTCAGCTGGAAAATATTAATTGGACAGGTTTGAGGTAGGAGTGTGTGTGTGTTTGTGTGTGTGTGTGTGTGTGTGTGTGTGTGTGTGTGTGCAAGATCATGCATTGGTGTCTGTCCAGCCTACTGAAACCACATAGACTGAGAGTCGATTCAGGAGGCCCGATTCCTGAAAGAATTCAAGGTGCAGCGTCATGAAGAAAGGAGAAAGGATTCAGGGCAGGTAAAATGCACTGTTAGCTCACTCCGGCCTGTTCTGCAGAGGATGTAAGTTTCTGTTATTTTTCTAGAAGACAGTTATGTGATAACCTTAATGTAAAGATAAACGATCTGGAGACACAGTAATACCAGAGACAGTGACAGAATGGCTTATGATTTCACATGGAATTCAGCTCCGAGCTTCCTCTTATCTCAAGGCAAAAGCAGAACCCTCGCGTGATGCCTGGCTGTCCCTGTCTCATGGAAGGGTGCACAGCTTTTTACCAAAATGCAGCTTCTATCAGTCAGGAAACAGAAAAAGCCTTTTCCTTCTGAAARCAATTTTGGAGTCATTTGTAATGGTGAGTGGCTTTAGGGGATGTTTTACTTTTACTTATTTATTTATTTATTTACTTATTTATGTTTTGGTAGTGGGGGTTGAACCTGGGGCCTGGGGCATGCTTGGCWGGCACTCCACCCTGAGCCACATCCGCAGCCTCTCAGGAGATGTTTTAGAGAAAGACCCAGAAACTATACCAGGCYAAGGAAAAAAGAGAGAGCAGAGTATTAAATTACTGCTCAATGAAGGCATTTGACAAAAAAYAACTTAGCTTTTAACAAATAAACTTTCTGTGTGATTATAAAAACAGTGCATGTTTATTGTAGAACAACTTTAGAATGCAGAAAAAGAAAAGAATTAAGTAAGAACCAGTGGTCATCCCACTTTTCAGAAATCACCATTGATGACATTTGGGCCTTGGTCTTCTACTGTTTATTGTTTTTATGTGAGTGCACACACATGCACCCATTGTTTGTAGAATGGGCTATTTACAGACCTGCACCCTGATTTTTTTTTTTTTAAGTGCTTGAGCAATTTTAATTTTTTCGTTGTAGATGGACTCAATGCTTTTTATTTTGTTTTATTTTTTATATTGATTTTTTAGTTTTCGGCGGACACAACATCTTTGTTTGGTGCTGAGGATCGAACCTGGGCCGCACGCATGCCAGGCGAGCGCGCTACCGCTTGAGCCACATCCCCAGCCCCAATGCTTTTTATTTTATTTATTTATGTGGTGCTGAGGACCTAACCCAGTGCCTCACACGTGCAAGGCAGGCACTCCTCCTCTGAGCTACTACCCCAGCACCCCCTTACTCGTTTGATTTAACAAAATGTCATAATTTTCTTTTTTGTGGGGAGGAGGACCAGGGATTGAACTCAGGAACACTCGACCACAAAACCACATCCCCAGCCCTATTTTCTATTTTATTTAGAGACTGGGTCTCACTGAGTTGTTTAGCTCCTTGCTTTTGCAGAGGCTGTCTTTGAACTCGTGATCCTCCTACCTCAGCCTCCTACCTCAGCCTCCCAAGCTGCGATCATTTTCTTTTACCATTAAATAATCTCTGAAAAAGTCATTAAAAAATTTTTGTAGTTGCAGATGGACAGAATGCCTTTATTTTATTTGCTTTTTATTTTTATGTAGTGCTGAGGATTGAACCCAGAGCCTCATGCATGCTAGGCAAGCCCTGAAAAAGTCATTTTTGATGGATGTATAGCATTTCTTCATGCAGCCCTATCTCTGCTTCTTTCCTGCTGGACACTGAGACTGCTTGCAGCTTCTTGCTGTTATAAATCATGTTATAAAGAATTTTTTTTTTTAAACAATGAACCTACTCGATATCAGATTGTTTCCTTCGGCAAGACATTCTAAAATATAGTGATACCAGATCCAAGAGAAGAGGAACATTTTGTAGATCTAGATATGTACTGCCAAGTTGGCACCCAACCTGCTTGTGATTTGGGTGACACAGAGTCCAGCTAGACATTCTAGGATGGTGGCATTGCATCTTTGATTTTCAGTAAGCAGTGAAAAYCCAAACAAAAAACTGAAGAGAGCTGACGTACAGTTCTGACTTTTATTTGTCCAAGCTGAGAAGAAATAAATTTTAATCCAAAAGAGTAAAGATGCAATATGAGACTAAAGGACAGTTCTTGACATTGAATAAACTTTACTTGAAGAACCTCACTTCACTATCTTTCTTTTCACCCATTTCTCTTTGAACCTGAGCATGTTCAAAACTAAGTTTTTTTTTAAGAATCTGTATTATTTTTTTTAATATTTATTTTTTAGTTGTAGTTGGATATGATATCTTTATTTTATTTATTTTTATGTGGTGCTGAGGATCAAACCCAGGGCCTCACGAGCGCTGTACCACGGAGCCACAACCCCAACCCTCAAAACTAAGTTTTATCTGTATCTTTTTTATAAAGATTAGAAAACATCCTTAGATTTCACAAAACATTTTTTTCCATGCAATGTATTAAGCAGCTTTCCATTGCTGTAACAAATAACTTGACATACAAAAAGAAAAGGTTTATTTTGGCTCACAGTTTAGTCCAAGATTGATTGGCTCCATTGCTTCAGGCCTGTGGTGGCACATGTGGCAGAGCAAACTCCTTACCTCATGACTGGAAATGAAAGATGAAGAGACTGGGCCCCACAAGCTTCTTTGAGAGTGCTGTCTCAGTGACCCAAAAACTTCCATGGGCCCCAGCTCTTAAAGGCTCCATCACCTCTTAGCACCAAGCTAGGGATGAAGCCTTTAACACATGGGCCTTTGGAGGCCAGTCTAGATCCAGACTATAGCAGTAAGCAATTAATTCACTGCAAGGCGCCTTGTGTGCTGCACCTCGGCACTACACAGATATTCTGTGCATCTTATTGAGTACCCAGGGTCTTAATAATGCAGATACACTTGTTAACCTTTTTGAACTTCCACACATGTTTTCCACTTGCTATGACATGTGTATGGAGGAGGGGAGTGTTTTGGTAGATTCAGGAAAGAATGAGATTAAGGAGAGCTTTGTAAGGGCCACTAAGGTTGAGGTACCCATCTATAGGCCAGAATTGACTTAGAGCTTGGGTATGCTTTTTGCAGTGCTCCAACTTTTTTCTTTATTTTTATATTAAGCTTTTAATTTTGAAAAATTCATTATTGGAAAAATTGACAAGAGTAGCACAATGAAGTCCTGCAAATTCTTCACCTAGATTCACTTATCATTGTTATAATTTTTATCTTCCAACATGTCTACTAACATACTGTACTCATTTGGGCGTAAGTTGCAAAGATGACAACCCTCACTTGTTATTTCTTTGGCATGTCTTTTCCAGGAACAAGGACAATCTCTCATGATACTATGATGTAGTTGTCAAAGTCAGGAAAGTTATATAATATTAGGTTTCAAATTTTTTTCTTTCAGGTCTTGGGGATTGATCCCAGGACCTTGTGCAAGCTAGTAAGCCTTCTACCACTGAGCTGTATTCCCAGCCCTTTTTATTTTATTTTGAGACAGGGTCTTGCTAAGCTGCTGAGACTGGCCTTTAACTTGCTATCCTTCTGCCTCAGCCTCYTAAGTTATTGGAATTAATTAACTTTTATAGCAGCTTTYTTTTCAAAGTGAGAATCAGGTGTGACCCCGATGTTATTATGTCTCTTTGGTCTCCTTTAGACTGGAACAGTTCCTCAGCCTTTGTCTCTTATGGCATTGAGAATTTTAAAGAGAATAGATAGCACCRTTGGTTTATTAAATGTCTCAGTTTGAGTCTCTCCGATAGTTTCTTGTGTTTTATTTAAAGGTGTGTATTATCACAAAGCTTAATGACTTAGAACAACATCAAGCAGTTATTATCCCACATAGTTTCCGGACAGGCTGAGGACAGGAGAGGAGAGGCAGGGCCAGGGATTTGGACTGGGTGGAACTGGCTTGGAGTCCCTTAGGAGGTCACAGCCAAATGGTGCCTGCATGTTTTATCATCTGAAGGCTTGACTGGGACCACAGGTTCTGCCTACTCACATGGCTGGAAAGTTTGTCCTGGGTATTGRCAGGAAGCCCTGGTTCCATGCCCATCAGTTCCTCCACTTAGCTGCTTGAGTGTCCTCACAACATGGCAGCTGGCTTTCYCCAGAATGAATGGAACATTCCACTGAAGGAACAAGAAGGAAACATTGATATCTTCTGACCCACTCCTGGAAGTCACATGTCTCTGCTGCCTTCTTGTGTGGTGGTTTTAAACATGTCTACAGATTCTTCAGTCTCCTTCCTTCCAAAAGATGGAGCTGAATTCTTCTCACCTTGAGTGGGGACCAGACTTCCCCTATGTGGAGCACAAAGCCTTCCTCTGGGTCCACGCTATTTAATGTTTCCATGGTGTTCTAGGACCTAGCTCCCTCTGGCTAGGTGCCCTCTGCCTTCATGACACCAGAATGTAATGTCCCCCTGAAGGTAAGCCCCATGAGAGCTGGGACCTTGTCACACTGACATGTGGTAGGTGATGGGGAAGTACTTGGTGACCGACTGGTTCAGATACAGGTCCCCTGGTGCAGTGCTTGGCACGTAGCACAGTCAACAGACGTTAGCRTCACACCTTGTCCCCTTTAGCTCTGCCTCTCCTCTCCTGTCCTCAGCCTGTCCGGTGAGGTCTTGCCTTAGCTKCCCAGGTAGCCCAGCTGGCCTTCAGCATTGATCCCCTTCTCCATACCTTGCTGATCCCTCCGCCAACCCCCATGTTTTAAACCCTGGTTCTTCTGGTGACCCATGGTGTCTCCCTACCTTGCCATCAGGCACTTCYGGCTGGTAATTGCCAACACTGCCCTTGGTCAGTCCTGTGGCACTGGGAGTTTGTTGTCCGTCATTCTGAGGATAGCGTTCTGCCAATCAGGGAACCTTCAGTGCAGAGTGACAGCAGAGACTACCCCACAAAGAAGGAGCTTATTGTTTCCCATGACTGCCAATCAGGGTGCAGTGGGAGGACTTGGACCCTGGGGAGGTAGTTGTGCCCTCTGCAGAGCCCTTCTCCGGATGTCCGTGTGTTCTGGCCACGATTCTCATTTGTGCACATGTGACACATGGTCACTGCTGGGGGCTGGCGAAGGTAGGGAGGGGCACASCATGCAAGCAGCAATACTGTGAGCGGCACTTGGAGCGGAGAGGAGCTGGGTGCTGGCGGAGCACAGGGCCCAGCATCTGCCCCAACAGGGACAGGGTTCCCAGAGAATAGGGCCGAGCTACTCTTGAAGGACAGGGAGTTTGCCAGGTAGAGAGGAAGGAAAGGGAATCCCAGGCCAAGGGAACAGGCTGAGCAAAGGCCTGGCAGTGGGATCGGAGCATCGTGGACAGATAGGAGAGCTGTGGGGCCAGGGCAGAAGTGAGTCTGGTTCCCTTCTGGTTCTGCCTGGTTTGTATGTTGCTCCGATCTGTAAATTGCTTTCYAACTTGAAAACAGTATCCCACAGGCCAAGGTTGCTGGGTGTCATGGTGAGAAGCTTTCTTAGGATCTCCTGAGATTCCTTGTGGCTCGTGGTGGGCTGTGGGTGGTCCTCCAGATTATTTTCCATTCCCCAGAGGGAAGCCCAGAGACCTGTCCTGTGTCCCCTGAATCACCGAATTTCCCAAAACAGCCTGGGCTGGGCTCTTGATTCCTAAAGTTGGATTTTTTTCTTTGCAGATGCAAAGAGAAGACATATGATTATGAAAACTTGCCCAGGACATCCGTTGTCATAGCGTTTTATAATGAAGCCTGGTCAACACTCCTTCGGACAGTTTACAGTGTCCTCGAGACATCCCCGGACATCCTGCTAGAAGAAGTTATCCTGGTGGATGACTACAGCGATCGAGGTAAGCCCCCACCTGGGCTTCCGGAAGGGTCTGGCCTGCTGTGGCAKTGGTGGCGGTGAGAGTGACAAAGGAGGGGTGGATAGGCTTCTTGCGTCCCCTGTGCCTATTGAAGACCTCAGAGAGAGTAGGCCTRGCCCAGAAACAGGTAGAGCAGGAGCAGCTGGAGTGAGCATGGGAGGTGACATGGGAGGAGAGGTTGCAGGAGGGTAGGCCACATCAGGTAGGGCCTTGGAGGTCACCCGAAGGCATTCAAACTTAAAGGTGAGCCCAGCAGGGAGCCACCAGTAGGTTTTAGGGGGACAGGAAGGCCCAGGTCAGTCTGAGGAGCCTGCTGTGTGGAGAATGGCCAATGGTGGGGGTGGATCCAGGCAACAGAGAAACTGGGAGCAGGGAGGGGCTTCTGCAGCCCCTGTGCGCCCCAGCCTTGACTTAGCAGGGACTTGGTGACTGGCTGCAATGAAAGCAGCTGAGCATAATCGTGGGGAAATGTCAAGGCTTCAGCGAAGGTGGAATCCTGGGCTTAGAGGTTTGAGCCTGTTTCAAGCCACACTGCCCTCCCTGGACCCCCCATGAGGGTTAGCAGTCCCTGCTTGTTGGGCCTGGGCCCCGGCAGGTGCTGTGTCTAGCCCGTCTGACTTCAGAGCTGGCATATATACGTTCTAATTGGCATGTGTGTTGGGCTGTCATCACGAGACTCAAAATAACAGTGATTCACACAAGGTAGAAATAGCTCTCTCTCGCACATCCCAAATCTGATKCAGTCTAGGATGGCGTTCGGGCTTGGTGCTGCTCCAGGTTCCCACCTTCTCCTTGGCTCCTCACCCCCTACTCACTCTGCTCAGCCCCCGGAGTCTGAAGGGGCAGAGGGAACACCCTCTCTCTCAGCGCACTGCCTGGAAGTTCCCCCCATGTCCCACAGAGCAGAAGGTGGCTGCCTGGCCACACCGAGCTGCAAGGGAGGCTGGGAAATGTCGCCTTTATCCTGCTGGTCATGTGCTCAGCTAAAAGACATGGGGAAAAGCCTTRGGGGACAAGCCGCGGTGTCCATGCCAGCCAGGAGTCTAGTAGGCACTGAGCTCTGGGCTGCTAGGTCTGAGGTGACCTTTGCCTTGATTCAGCCATGGCACCTGTGTGTGTCCACCACACCTAACTCAGGGAGCTGTGGTGAGAAATAAACAAGGTCATGTGAAGGACAGAACCTCATGTACCCACCAGCACATAGTAGGTGCTCATGTGGTAGCCCCCACACAGTAAGTGCTCACCTCCATTTCCTTTGTCTTTTCCTCTGGGATTGTTTCATATCTACCTGTGYAGACACTGGTGATAGGCCACACTGTGAGGGCTTAAATCCCTCTTCAGCACCTAGTGACCACACGATATTGAGCGATGATCTTCCTGGTGTCCACCTTGGCCCCACCTTAGCTTCAGCCCCTACAAAAGGGGAATAATCCTACCTTCCTACCTCCTAGGGTCATTGGGAGGATTAAATGAGATAAGGTRGGTCATGTGTTGGGTCAGTGCCTGGCAGATAGTTAGCTCTTGTTAAATGATAACTTCTAATTTGATGAAATATTATGAAAACTGTAAAGTGAAAAACCCCCTACCATTTCTAACAGCAATAGCAGATTATTTTATTTATTTATTTTTATACTTATTTTATTTATTCATTTTTATGTGGTGCTGAGGATCCAACCCAAGGCTTTGCACAAGCTAGGCAAGCACTCTACCGCTGAGCCACAACCTCAGCCCCACATTATTTTATTTTTAYGGGACTAAATAGCTGCTCAGTGGCAAGAACATGGTGTGGTTCATGCTCCCTCCACACAGCTGTTGTACTTGGGGAGGGTGGCGAGGGGACTTTTAAAGCCACTGCTCTGGAGGAGTTAAGCAGCTGCCTTGACCCTGTTTCTGCAGCGACCCTGTTTCTGCAGCGACCCTGTTTCTGCAGCGACCCTGTTTCTGCAGTGTCAGGAAGAGCCTGCCACAGGGTGCCAGCCTCTTCCATACACTGGAGACTGGCTCAGGCAGACATGAGCTCAGCCCCCTAATCACTTTGCTTGCAAATCACTCCCTGGTTCCTGCCATTGGCTTATTTGCATCGTATTTAGGATTTAAAAATAAAACCAACCAATGAATTTTTTTAAGTGTCAAGGATATTTGGAGAAACATTTTCATAAGTTACGAAGCAACCTAGAACAGTTTTCTCCTTGGCAGATGGTGGAGGACCTGGGGCCAAAGCCCACRTGGATGGGGAAGTGCTCTCATTTGTCCTTTGTCTGCGTGGGTTTCCACCCGCCCCACCCGACCCACTGAGGGTTGTGAATCAGCCTCTAGTCCCAGAGTCCTGTCTGTAGATTCAGGAGACCCCGGGGGCCAGCTACCTAGGGGCGTGTCCATTCGACAGTTTGCCTTTTCTGCAAATGGGCATGAGCATATCTTTCTGACAAGTTTTTGACGTTTAATAAAGATGAGAAATTACAGGAGAGAATTCTGGGAGGCAGTGTTAAGCCTGTGGCATCTGGAACAGATTCACTGGGTTCAAATTATGGCTCCTTGGCTTGCTTGCTATGTGACCTTTGGCAAGTTGCGTAGCCACTCTGACCCCAATGTCTCCCTCTATGGGATGGGGAGAGTACTAGTATTTACCTCATAGGATTGTTAAGGGGTCAGATGAGTTATTGATGAATCACTTGGGAGAGCATAGCATAGCAGCTCTCTTTAATGCTAGCTGTCATTACTCCTGTTCCTGCTATATAAACTGTAAAGTGCTCCTCAGAAAAATTTTAGTAATATAATTACTGTTTTAATAACAAAAAAAAAATCATGTATATTTGTCAGCTTTTAGTCACTATAACAAAGTACCTGACATAGGCTACTAATGAAGAAGAGATTACTTTAGTCCGTGCTGGAGGTTCAAGGGCATGGTACAGGCTTGGACCCAGTTTTTGACCTCATCATATCATGGCAAGATGGTCTTGTCAATAGCACATACAGAAGCAAGTGACTRTACCTCCAATTATTAGCAGAGAGAGAGGCTAGGGTCCCACCAGTCTCTCTGAGGTCGGTATCCAGTGACTTAGTAAGGACTTCCCATTGGGGACCCCCTCCCAAAAGTCCCCCCCTTCCCAACACCACRACCCCAGGGACTAAGCTTTAATCACAGTGCTCCCTTGGGGGACACAGTGGTTCTTGTGTGTTTTTATTTTTTAATGTTCACAAGTCAAGCTGTGAAGTTCCTTTCCATACAGTTTTATTGAGCTATACTCGGGGACCAGGCCATTCACCCCTTCAGAGCAGAGCATTTGACAGGCGTGTGTGTCCTTGGCCGTGCACGGAACCTCCCCAGCCCTAACCTCCMGGGCCTCAGAACCTCCCACCCCTGGTTCTGGGCGAGTCGAGGGCATCCCATAGCAAAGCAGAGCAGGGAGGCCCCGGGTGGGTCCCGGTGACCCTTGCTGCTCTGCTTGCCTCCCAGAGCACCTGAAGGAGCGCTTGGCCCAGGAGCTGTCGGGCCTGCCCAGGGTGCGCCTGATCCGMGCCACCAAGAGAGAGGGCCTGGTGCGAGCCCGGCTGCTGGGGGCGTCTGTGGCCAAGGGCGAAGTGTTGACCTTCCTGGACTGTCACTGCGAGTGCCACGAGGGGTGGCTGGAGCCACTGCTGCAGAGGTGCGTGAGCTGCCTGCACGGGGAGGGGTGTGGCGGTGGGCGACATGGGGACAGGCTCCGCTTAGGGGCCTCTAGGGCACAGTTACAGGGTGAAATGCCCGGAACCTAGGGAACACTCYGCTGTTATGGATGAGTCCCTTGGGGGAGCCTAGCACAGCAGGGAGGTCCCGCACGGTTTGCTTTTACTTCCCATCTAGGTTTATCGCAGGTGACCCAGGAAGTATCATCAAGCAACAACTTTTAAAAAGTTGTCGTTACACAGAATCACAATTTCCCATATATTTTAACATTTTTATATATATATATTTTTTTAGTTGGACACAATAACTTTTTTATGTATTTATTTTTATTTGATGCTGAGGATCAAACCCAGCGCCTGTGCCAGGCGAGTGCTCTACCTCTGAGCCACAGCCCAGCCCCTTGACATATTTTTTTCAGGCAAGACTCACTTCTCCATTATCCCAGTGAGCCTGATGCCTAGGGCCATTGAAACCCAAAGACACCCAAAAAGTGTTTTCTGACTTTTTTTTTTTTTTTTTTTTTTGCAGTGCTGGGGATTGAAGCCAAGTCTCTTGCATTCTAGGCAAGTAGTCTATCACAGAACTGCTGCTCCAAGCCCCCCCCCAAAAGGTTTTTTATGTTCATTTATTTTAAAATCAGAAGGAAAAAAATAAGTATTATAAGTATATAATAATAATGAGTCTAGCCTGGATTATATTTGTCTTTATGCCAATGTAGCAGTAAAAGATACTTTTTTTTTTGAGTCAAAGTCTCACTAAGTTGTCAAGGCTGGCCTCAAAATCATGATCCTCCTGCCTCAGCCTCCTGAGTAGCTGGCATTACAGGCATGTACCACCGTGTCTGGATCTACAACATAAACACACACAGACACACATATGCATATATATATATATATATATATATATATATATATATATATATATTTATGGAGGAAGGGAATCATATAAACCATTGTGCATCCCTGTCGTCAAGGTCTTTCCTCCTGCTGCCCCACAGCCTCAGGCCCCTTTGTCCCCCGACCCCCTCCACCCCTGCCTCCAGTCTCTCTGTAGGTCCTCTCTATTCTGCGTCACAGAAGGCAGGAGCTGGGCTGAACAACCAGGAGCTCCCCTGGGAGGCAGGGGAAGGTGTGGGGGGTCTCTGTCTGGTGCCCCTTCTGTGAGTCAGGGTAACTTGCAGTTGAACGTCCTCCCACCCACAGCCTCCAGCAGCTGGTTGACCATGTTAATCTGCTAGTGTCTCGCGTTCCTTTCCAGGTGAGACCAAGTGCTACTCTGCTGCTTTTTGTTGTCCTGGCTCCTTGTCCCCTGGGGTATCATCGCTGCCTCTTTYTCCTCCTCCCCTCTAGGAGCTTCACCAGTAAAGATTCAGGGCTTCTCAGACGGAGTCTGGGGCTGTTTATGTGGTGGTGTCTGAACCTGGACTGGTGGGTTCCTCACCTTGTGCACAGGGGGCCACCTCCAGACGTCTGGAGTCCAGGTCTGAAGGGGCCACTCTTCCTCTCTAGCTAATGTGCTGATGCCACCTCAGAGCCCTCTGCAGCCCACCCTCCCCACAGCCAAGGCCTTGCTCTGTCTACACCTGTGGGTGAGGGGATTGTCCACCCTGTGTGTCCACGGGGAATACCCTAGGAACTGTGAACACCGGGCCCTGTGGTACGACATCTGGATCTGACTCTTAGGAGCAGGACTTGGCTTTTGGATGTTTCCAGGGGCTCGGGTGTGCAACAGAGCTGAGGCACATTGAGCTGTATAGACTGTGGCCCTGGTGACCCCAGCTGTGTTCAGTGGCTTTTGGGGAAGGAGTTTTTGATGGTCATGTCCACCAGGGAGCGCTTCTGGTATTTTGGGTACTAAGATGCCAACTATCCTGCCTTGCATAGGTCAGGATGGTTCTGCCCAGGTGCTGGGCACATCCCTGTGGGACACACACACATTCTCCCCATGAGTCAGAGTCCTGTGCTCCTGTATTGGCCACCAGCCCCCAGTCAGGCTCCCGATCACTACAGACCAGCTGCCTGTGGTTCAGTAGCTTGATGGTAATCGTGAGTTTCCGGCTTTGCAAAGCCAGGCAGTGTCTCCGAACCTGCCCAGCACATCTGCTGTGGGCCTGCTCAACCCTTCTACCAATATCGTTGATTTATTTGAAGAAGTGGTTGCGGGTGGATCCTCAGTCTCCAGCTTCCTCAGTTTGGTTACCTCACGGGTCTTATCAAACTGTCCGGAGTGGTTCAAGCTCCCCTGAAATCGTGAACCTTACTCACTGCGGTACTTAAAATCCCCCTGTCTGGCTTTCTGGTGTTGGGCTAGAGCCCTTCTAGCTCAAGTCTGGTTGGTCTCTGTGACTCCCAGGACTTTAAGGTCTCAGACTTGAGATAACAGCCCCAAAATTGTAACCCAAAGAAATCTAGTCTTCYCTCGCGGTCCTGTCTCGGTTCATCTTTGCTGAGTGGTATCAACCCGATGCCAAGAAACCAGAGCGTGTGGGCATACTGAGGATGGTTTGTGATAGTGTTCATGGAGACCATGTGACACACTCACACAGCAGGAAACACACACAGGCTGATACCCGCAACAGGAAATTACAGCATTTTTTACTGTATGTAATATTTCCCAACAACAACTTTTAAAAGAATAGTAGTTCCATTTTTTTTTTTTTTTTTTTGCCAGGCATCTCACAAACTGTCCCTCAGGGAATCCTCACCTGAGCCCTGTGTTCTCACTTCACTTTACCAATGAGGTAACAGGCTCTAAGAGGTTAGGTAACTTGGCTCATGTCACCCAGCAAATAATAAGCAGGATTAATTGCAAAGCTGACTCTTCAGTCTGGGTGCTTCTCTTTCATCTTTGATTTTTTTTTCCAAATATTCTTTTAGTTGTAGATGGACACAATACCTTTATGTATTTCTTATGTGGTGCTGAGGATTGAACCCAGGGCCTCACACRTGCAAGGTGCATGCTCTACCACTGAGCCCCAGCCCCAGCCCCTCATCTTTGATTTTTACACGTCTTGATTTTCATTAGAGGGATTCAAGTTTAGCCAGAATGTCCATAGATAGAATCAGGGAATTATTAAAGTGATGGGACTTTTCCTATTAGTCTCCTCCGGGCCTCTTCAGTGTCCCCCTGTGGTGATCACCTGTGGGGGCTCCCATCTGGCTGTGGGCCCCTGAATAAGGGAAGCAGGACTTTCTCACACAGGTGTCCTCCTTCCTGTGAGAAAGATGAGAGTTCATTCTTGAACTTGATAACTGTCCTTGGGCCACCTGCCAGCAGAGGAGAGATGAGATGTCCYGGGTGTTTGCAGGATCCACGAGAAGGAGTCTGCGGTGGTGTGCCCCGTGATTGACGTGATCGACTGGAACACCTTCGAGTACTTGGGCAACTCCGGGGAGCCCCAGATTGGTGGCTTCGACTGGCGGCTGGTGTTCACGTGGCACGTGGTTCCTGAGAGGGAGAGGAGGCAGATGCAGTCCCCAATCGATGTCATCAGGTGAGGGCTTGCCTGCTGGGGGAGTGTTCCTCATTGTCAGTGAAGGTCCTGGTTAGGGCCACTTAGCTGTTGGCTTCCTTCCYGGCTCCCTACTTATTCCTAGGGCATTTGTTTCTTTTTATTAAGCATCTTTGTCATACAAATAGATTGTATATTGCTSTATTTTAATTAATTAATTTGATTTTAATATTGGTGATAAAATATGTGCAACTTAAAATTTGCCTCTTTTTTTTTGCACCAGGATCAGGGTCAAGTCCAGGGCCTCACACATGCTAAGCCAGCACTTGTTCCTCAACCCTTGTTCTCTGTGATTTTGAGAGGTCTAGAGGGCTGGGGGTATGGCTCAGTGGYACGTGCTCAGTGGCAATGCCTAGCATGTGCAAGACCCTGAGTTTGAGCCCCAGCACYAGGTGCATGCATGCATCAATCATCAGTCAACCAAAGTGCCAGGGTTTCTCCYGCAATTGGGCCTGCTCATGCTCTTGACCAGCTCCCCTGGCCCCAGAGACTTAACCTCCTTCAGGAAACCCAGCCCTGTCCTCCCTACCCGCTGCCCTCTTTGTGTCCCCCACGGCCCTGGCTGACCTTAGCTAACACGTGTGTCACAGCCAGAGGACTTCTTTGTTGGCATGTTCATGAGCTTCCTCCAGACAGGAATGATGAGGTGCATCTGTGCCTTCAGACCCAGCTTGGGAGCTGGGCGCAGAGTGTGAGCTCAGGGTTGACATGGATGAATTGGATGGAAGGGCTCAAGGCGGGAAGGCAGTTCCACCAGCTGTAATGGTTTCCTGCTGCTTACGTTGAAATATGGCTATCCCTCTTTTTCTAGGTCTCCAACGATGGCTGGTGGGCTGTTTGCAGTGAGTAAGAAATATTTTGAATATCTGGGGTCTTATGATACAGGAATGGAAGTCTGGGGAGGAGAAAACCTCGAATTTTCTTTTAGGGTAAGTATTCCAGTCTTCTCTTTGGACTTGTTCTGAACCTGGTCTCCCCTGCCCACCCCCACCTGGATTTGTTACGAGAGCCAGAGGGACGGCTCCGTGTTGGCAGTGTATCCATGATCCTGCGCCTTGGACATCCTRTAAACATGCCTGCCTTCTTTTTTAACTTTCAGAAATGTAATTTTAAGGAYGTGAGGCTGGGAAGTCACCAGGTTCTTCTCTTCCCCTCTGCAGAGGGGAGGAACTGAGGCCAGGAGAGGGGAGGGGACTTGTTCAAGGTCCCTCAGAGTTGGTGGCAGAGATGGGACTAAAACTCAGATCCTGCCTCTGGGAGCCTTTATTCACTAACTAGGAAGCAGTCTTTATTTAGCACCATGGCTTTCAGACACGGACCCCGGGWGAACGGTTGGGGAAATGTCCAGAAGACAGATGGACAGGCACAGTCTGTGGACAGTCAGACTTGATAGAACAGGGTGAGGCCAGGATCTGCTTCCAGTAAATTCTGCAGAACCCAGCCCACCTCAGCCCCTTTGAAAGATCCTGAGCATGTCAGTAGCTTTTCCAGTTAATGGAATCCTACATTTTTAAGTGTCCAATATCTTATCTGGTGTCCTGCTGTCAAAAAAATAGTTAATAAAGATGAATTTGGCCTTCCACCGAGGACTCACGCCCTCCATTAAGGATATCAGAAGCTGTTTTTGATTSTACCATCCTTGGGGAAATTGAGTTGTTGGTGACCCTAGATGGCTTCACTAGGGCAGTCTGGGATGTGTCTTAATGTCTTTCTGCCTCTCCCCTAGGTGTCAGGCTTCTCTGCCTGCTTCTAGAAGCCCTTCCTCTCTCTCTTCCAAACCTCTCTYCTCCCTTGCTGCTTTCCTATCTTCTGTGGCTAGGCGATCAGGTAACCAAGCTTGTTCCACATAACCAGTGAGTGGGTTGCCGGTGACATCCCCGGGGGTCCTCCCGCACACCTGGTGCCTGAGCATTAGTGCATGGACTTTGGGGTCTGGGTTGCGATGGCTTGTCCTTCGTGCTCTTTGTTTGCCTTCTGTGTTCATGAGCATGCTGGATCGGTGGCCTCCCGCCTCGTGGAGGCTGAGTCTCTTGGCGATGCCCATCAGGACTTTTGTGTGCCCAGTAGACACTGTGGACAGGCGGCTCCTTCCTTGCTCAGTGCTCTGGCGTCCCCTCTGCTCCGTGTGCAGATCTGGCAGTGTGGCGGGACTCTGGAAACACACCCGTGCTCCCACGTGGGCCACGTTTTCCCCAAGCAAGCTCCCTACTCCCGCAACAAGGCACTGGCCAACAGCGTCCGCGCAGCCGAAGTGTGGATGGACGGCTATAAGGAGCTCTACTACCACCGCAACCCCCGCGCGCGCCTGGTGAGTACCYGCCACCGCGCTCCACCTGGCCTCGGCTGCTGATAATTGATCTGGCTTCAGAAATAGGGACAGGTTGGGCCCTCATGATACATGCATGGGAAAACTCTATTCCTCCRTGTGTAGTAGTAACGTGTCAGTTCTGTTCACAGTAGCCACATTCCACAAAGCCACTGCAAACACGGAATTAGTGAACATGAGCCATCGCTCGAGGGGACATAGGAACTGGGTGGGACATAGGAACTGGGTTCCTGCAAACCCAGGTCACAATGGTCTAGTCACTACAGAACTAAATTGGTGTGTGTTTCTGTTTAAAGACATCCTGTTTACATACACTGTTGATTCAGTACCATTGCACTTGGGGCCAAGCGTGGTGTAACTCACACTTGAATGAATCTCTGACTGGTATTTTCCCCATAACGCACATCCCAAACTTTTTTGCCCGTAGGAACTCTAGATAGCGCTTTGGCAGTATGATCGGGCTGGTTTAGAAGGGCTTTGTTTTGGGGTTTATGAATAAATTTTAACAAGTAGGTGAATTCGCACATACAGAGCTGGTATGGAATACCGAGGCTTGACCGTGCCCACGAAGCCAGTCTGGAATACCCAGTGTCACATGCTGGGTATGTTACCCACGTCATGGCTTGTCCCTCCGTAGCCAGTATGGTTTTGAGTCCCCCCACCTAGGGTATGGGCTAAGGCAGGTTCTTCATGTGAGAGCTGCTGCCCAGGGACACTCCCACCTCCTTAGATAGAGGTCTCTTGTCTCCTGCTCCAGGCCTCTTCTGAGCCTTCTTGAATTGTCCAAGAACCCCGGAGGCTTATTCTTCGCTTCCATTTCCAGACAGACAGACTTGGAGAGTGGCCAGTACACCCATGCCTCCCTTCCTCCCAGATGTCATGGCTGTGAAAGGCAGGGCCTCCTCCTGACAGTGCCAGCCYACCTCCCTGCCCAAGGCCTTGCTGAAGTCTCTCTGCCCAGTGGTGTCCCCATAGTGTGCTAAGGTTTCAGTTTGGTTGGTTTTCTCTTAACAGATCCAGCCACACACTGCTGAGACCCTAGACCCTCACAAACCTTGACACACACTGCTGAGGTAATCCCATGACCCCCACAGACCCCAGGCACACACTGCTGAGACCCTAGACCTCCACAGACCCCAGCCACACACTGCAGAGACCCTAGACCCTCACAGACCCCAGGCACACACTGCTGAGACCCTAGACCCCCACAGACCCCAGGCACACACTGCTGAGAGGAGCCCATGACCCCCACACTCAGGCCCTGTGAGAGCCGGGTATCGGCCAGCCTGTTTCTTCTTAGGTGAGGCTTCTCGGGGGCTTGGGGCCTACCTCAGACAGCACCCTGTTCTGCCCTTATTTCAGAGACCTGTGGACAGGGGATCTGCTCCTTCTATCCCACAAGGTCTTGGGCCTCAGGCACAATGCTGTCCACCACCTCTGCACTGCCTGTCAGAGGCCAGCTTTGCATGCCCCAGGCCAGGGTACTGTGTGTCCCATATTTGCATAACTGAGGGCCACTTGGCTACACTAGAAGGTCTTGTTCCAAGACTTCCGCCCTGGTGCTTGATGGAAGTCCCTGTAGCAGTCTTGCAGACAGTAGTCAATGAGAAAGCTGAAGCTCTGGAAGGGAGACTGGGGAGCCTGTCTGAGGCCTCCTAGGTGATGGGGAGCAAGGGCATAGTTGCCTGTCCACTCTAGCGCCCCTTGCCCTGCTCTGCACAGCTGGGGACTCTCAGCCTGGCCTCCCGCTGGCCCTCTCCACCTCGGGGGCTCCATGGTGGTCAGCCTCTGCCTCCTCCCTCTTGCCTTGTGCTTCAGAGTGAAATATCTGCTCCTCACTTCACTGGTTCTGGAACCCACAGTTCCTATTCCTGAGGTTTCCTGGAGAATCTCCTTGAGGGCGTTGAATGCGCCTTTAGGCTGAGGGGGCTGGCGGCTAAAATGTATTTTTTTTGGTTCAAGTTCAGGGAGGAGGGTAATGGTGACTCCCATCAAAGAAGAACTTCCAGGAAGTAGTGGGAACCTGAAAGTTATTCGAACATTCACTTCTTATTGCAATTTTATTCCACTTGTCAATTTTTAGTAGTTTAACACAACACCAGAGGGATAGTTCTTTCAGCTGAACATTTACTGAACTACACACAGGCTTGCTTTATTTAAGTATTTAAGCATCATGTACTGCAGCATTTTACCCTGGCCATCATGCATGTGTATTTATCCTTGAGTACACTGAGCACATATGTTCTCACTCCTGATGGCATCTGGGACACATACCTGTGTTTGAAAGTGCGAATTCAGGCAATAATAGTAGATCCAGATGCCACGYGGCCTGCATCGTGATGACACCAGTGTTCCTCTGGTGGGGTCTGAGGATGACTCTGTGCTGATGCACAGCGCCAAGGGTGCCCCTGTGGCCCCAGGGTTTGGTTCCTGGGCTCTGTCAGCAGGAGTATTGTCTCCTGTCCTCATGTGCTGGGTTGCATGTCCCTAGAGCACCTGAGGATGGGATTTTCTGTGTGACAGACTCTCTTACTAAGCAGCCTCCAGGATGGAGGCTCCTCTTCCCAGTGCCCAGCATGCAGTAGATGCCAGTAAAATGGGAGGTTGTTGGCACCCGTGAAGAGGGGCTTTGACAGGAACCTGCAGGACCTGCAGGGACTCACCACTGTGTTGTCTTCCAGGAACCCTTTGGTGATGTGACAGAGAGGAGGCAGCTCCGGGATAAACTCCGATGCAAGGATTTCAAATGGTTTTTGGAAACGGTGTATCCAGAACTGCATGTGCCTGAGGACAGGCCCGGCTTCTTCGGGATGGTGCGCAATGTGGGCCTTGGTGGGCATGGAATTCCCTGGCCCTGGGCCTGATCCCGGGCAAGGAAAGCCCCTTTGTGGGGACCTGGGACCCCCCCATCCCACACCCTTCCCACCTTCTCATCCTCTGTCCTTTTCTTACTCTGGGGTGTCTGAGCCTTGGGTCCAAAATGTCAGAGCTGAAAGTCACCTGGAAATTGGCAAGTGTGAGTATTCTGAGTTAGAGATGAGGAARCTGAGGCTTACTTGGGTGTGTCCATGTCCTGCTTTTTACTAATATATCACTTCTGGTCTCCACGGCCTGGCTAGCTGGTCATTCCTAACTTGWGAGTCCACAGAGGCAGCAGTGGCCGCTGGAGAGTCACTTCTAGTCTTTTAGAAAACCTTAAAGAAATGTTTCTGGAGCGAGGCCAACTGAGGTGCATGGTGTCTGGCTTTCGCTAGGAATCTCACCCTCTCCGTGAGGTCGCCTCGCTGATGTTTTTTTACCTGAAGTGYCGGCATCTGTTCTGGAAGTCCTGGATCAGTAACAAAACAAGACTTTGCTGTTCAATTCTGTTTTCATTAGGAAAATGTTCAAACCTACAGAAACGCAGAGAGAATGGCATGATGAATGATAACCCCGTTCCTGAGATTCTGGACTATTCCAGACTCTGCTTCCCGGCTTTCCCTCTCTCCTCCCCCCTCCATGCTTTATGCTTTTCTCTTTTTTAAGCAAACCCCAGCATTGTGCCTTGTCACTGCTGTGCACTTCTGTATGTAGCTTCATAAAGTTGGGACCTTATCTTACAAACCCACAGACTTTGTCACACCTGGCGAAGAAAACACTGATTCCCTGATGTCCTTTACTCTCGGCTCTAATCCATATTCCCCCTGATTTTTTTGAATTTCTCCTTGGGTGGTTGGCCGATCCCAACAGGAACCCGAGCAAAGCCCCCTCGTGTTTGGCCGTCACATCTTGTTTCCTAAGTCCCTTTTAACCTAGGTCCCCTTTCCTTTTTCTTCTTTCATTGTTAATACTTTTAAGTTGTTGGAAAAACACAGGATTGGTTGTGTGTGCAGCCTCTCACTCCGAAGGCGTCCTGGTTTCTCTGTGCTGTCTGGAAGTCGCTCCTCTCCCCCCACATTTCTTTACCATGGGAGTGAGGTCTAAAGGTTTGACTGGGGTCAGGGTCAACCTCTGTGTGGAGAACCCTGGTGGGCRTATGCACGTTGTGCTTTTGATAACCATTGCCTGGATCTGTTATTTCCAATGCAGTTGCTAAATGATGATTTTTCTCATTCTCTCATTTCTTGTGTACTTATTAAGGTGTTGGTATCCACACAGGAAGGATTCACACAGAAGAGGCCTGTTAAATTCTTATGCCTTTCTCTTGATTTGCCTAGTTATTTTCCTACAGTTGTGTCCAGTGGGTTTTGTTTGTTGGTTGGCCCATTTGTTCTTTGGCTCTTTCTTTTCTTGTGTATCACTGTAAAGTAGTAGGCTATTCTAAGTACTTGTGGGGCTGGGTAACGTTCTTACCCTTCTGCATTCCACCATGTGAGAACATAGTGAGGGGGTCCTCATCAGACACTGGTTCCTTGATCTTAGCCTTTCCAGTCTCCAGAGCTGTGAGAAAATAACTTTCTGTTATAAGCTACCAGGTCTATGGTATCCTGTTATAGCAGCACAAAACAGACTTAGATAACCTGTGTGTCCATATGGCCAACGTGTTTCAATCAATTCAGTCTTCCTTTTTATTTTTTTCAATATTTAAATTGTTCCATCTTTGGCTAATGGAAGCCTTTTTTATTTTGGCTTCTGTGATCTTTGACTCCAGGACATTGGCCTTGATAACTTGCTAAGTTATTCCATGTTCATCTTAAAAATTTCCTTCCTCTCCTCCCAGAAGCTCTGTCCCTTTGGCAGGAAACAGTATTCCAAGTCTGCATGGGTGCTGGTGGGGCCAGTCACTCCAGTTGCTATGGCTTCTAGACCAGCGGTCCCACATACACATAATAGGAGCCAAAAAATGAGTCATTTTGAAAATGTTAGCAGCCCTATGAAATGAAGAAATAAACAAAGTTAATAGCACATTTAAACCAGCTTATTAAAAAATATGAGCATTTCAATTTCAACATTATAGTTAATATCATAACTAATTCAAGAAAAATTAATTTYTTATTCTTTTTAAAATATCAAGTCTTAAAATCTGGCATGCATTTTTATACATAGAGCCCTTCTCGGTTTGGATTCCTTCCATTTCAGTGACCACTGGACTCCACATGGGACAGTGGCTACCATGCAGACTAGTATAGCTCTGAGCTTTTTCAGTGGCTCAGAAAGGACATACGTATCTTTGAGGAAAAAAAAAAATCACCATCCTATTTGAACATCTTAAATTCAAATTTAATCTTACAAGACTTTGCTTCTTTGGCATAATACTTTTATTTCTTTCTTCTTATTCCGCAAACCTTGATTTCTAACAATAGTAACATCCTTACTTGCCAGGTGTGGTGGTACACACTTGTAATCCCAGCTACTCATGAGGCTTAGGCAGGAGGATCTCAAGTTCAAGGCCAGCCCAGGAAACTTACTGAGACCCTGTCTCAAAATAAAAAAYAAAAAGGCTGGGAATATAGCACTCTGGATTCGATCCCCAGTATTCCCCACCAAAAACAAAAAACACAACCCTGATTTGCTTTATCCCCAAATAAATAGTTTCCAAACAATGGCACCGTATCACATGGACAGTGTTAGACTAAATGAGGTTTTATGATTTCCTTGCAGATCTGTTTGCCTATTGAATATATTTCACTGAGGAAAGGTTATCAAACACACTGTGCTCTGAAGTCATTTTTAAAAGTCCTTTCCTYTCTATCACCAGCTTGGTTTAGTTTGCTTAGTTAATCTCAGTTCAAGGCTATAACCCGATGTATTTGGACCAGTGCAGCAATAAGGCTGCTATKGAGGAAGAAAGAGGAGCTTTCGGGCCTGGAAAGGTTAATCTCTCCATCCTCAGATTGATCATCTTAAAATGGGGGTAAAGATTCCTGCGACAGTTGAGAATGGGAAGATCTGTCAAAACGGGACAGTGTTGGACAGGAGAAAGCTCTTGCCCGCGKGGCCAGGGCCTGAGGCAGGCCCTCATGTTGTGGACCCTCCTCTGAGCTGAATGTGGGATCTATTGTCTGCATCTAGACCAAAATGCCACCTTTATGTCTGGTTTAGCTCCAGAACAGAGGAGTGAAAGACTACTGCTTTGACTATAACCCTCCCGATGAAAACCAAGTGGCAGGACARCAGGTCATTCTCTACGTCTGTCACGGCCTGGGCCAGAACCAGGTAGGTGTGGGCCTTGAAAGAGGAACCTGGGGGCAAAGATCTGTACTTTTWAAAAAAATCAAATATCTGATTTTGGGGGGTAGGGGTTATAGCTCATGTGCTAGCATGTGTGAGGCCCTGGGTTCAATCTCCAGCAGTTAAAACATTTTAAAAAACTTTTTTGATTGTTTTTCTCATGATCGAAGTAAGATATACTCACTAAGGAACACTTGGGGAAATTTAAAAAGTCGAACTATGGGGTGAATGGCGAGCCCCAGAGAGACCACAGCTACAATTAAGACACCTCTTCTCCCTGTTTTTGTCAATACACAAGCTTTATATTGTGTCTTTTAAATGGTTGTTATCATAACACCTATATATTTTATAATATGTTAACTTTATTGTACTTACATTGTTAGATGTTCCTTGAGAACATCATTCCCCAGGATATTTCATTGTGTGCCTGTGTTACTGTTTAGTTAACTGGTTGTCTCCCTGTTTATGTAATTATAAATAACTCTCTTCCACTAACATCTTTAGTTAGAAAGAAGGGGGAATAAAAAACAGATTTKCATTTTGAATGATTTCCTTAGAATGAATTCTTAAATGGAATTATAGGTTTTAATAAATAGTGCCATTCTTCAAACTGCAAGAAAATTGTCTCAGCTGGGGGCCCAGRTGGATCTTTCTGGATCAAGTGCTACTCATTAGATGGAGCAGGGGAGACAGTTCTGGAGGGTCTGAGGACCTGTTGGCTAACAGGAGGGGCGGCTGTGAACCACCAAAGCTTTGACTCTGCTAAGGAGTCTCAGGCACCTGGGGATGACAGGAGGGGGGAGGTTCAGCAGTTTTCTTCCAATCCRGATTCACCCGATTCCCCTGGACCACAAGTCCCTTTACGTTCAGCAGTAAACTCGTCGTAGTTTGGGCCACTGCTACCTTTAATTACTGAGGCTCTTCTCACTTCTTGGAACACTGTTCCTCAGAGCTGATGGTAGCTGACTTGTACCATCAGCTTCCCAGRCCCATCTGCCCCGCTGAGTCCCAGCTTCCTGCTCTCCCAGCTCCCAGGGAGGGAGACATGTCTGAGAAACTTTGCTCCAYAGGCCTTGGGACAGTCACTGTGTCATTGGTGGGGCAGGTGGGTGTCATGTCAAAAATGCAGCTCCCTAGGCCCATCTCAGATCGAAGGGGCTTTATCCCTGTCTGGGGTGGGGCCAGGAACCAGGATTTTCCCAAGCGCCGTAGCTGGCTCTGGGTGCGTGGATGGGCCGTCTTCCCCGAGCAGTCCTGCTGCCTGCCCTGCACAGCACTTTCTCGTTTCCAGGCCCCTTTATGTCCATTATATTGGAGTGGGGGATGAGACCGAGGGAAAGGAGAGGGAGTGGCCAGTCCAGGTCACCGACAGCCCCCAAGTGCTAGCACAGGGACGTGTCCATTTTCTTTCCTGACCTTCCACACCAGCCCGTCCTCATCATCCAGCAAGCAAGATGGGCACCAGCAGGGGCCACTCCACTGGTAACTGTCACACACTGCAGTAGAGGTCAGATGAGCTACAGAAGAGGCCGTCTGAGCACTGGGGCCCGTGACAGAGCCCGATCAGACAGGTGATGGCTGTGGTGAGGGAGAGTGCTTGGCTCCAGGTCCRTGGTCTCTGTCCAGATCAGCAGGTAGCTGACGTGTTGCTTGCTCTGTTTTTAGTTTTTCGAGTACACATCCCAGAAGGAGATCCGCTATAACACCCACCAGCCAGAGGCCTGCATCGCCGTGGAGCCGGGGACCGACGTCCTCATCATGCACCTCTGCGAGGATACTGTCCCCGAGAACCAGAAGTTCCTCCTGCGGGAGGTCAGTGAGCGCTCACCCCTCTCTGCTCAGTCTGGGGCTGTCGGGAAGCATGGAAGTCRAGCTCTCCCTGGCCTAGTCCTGGGGGTCTCGGGCCGACCTACCCAGGCAGAGCAGGAACTTCGCTGTGAACCCCAGGAGGTGACCCCAGCATCCTGTATTGGCAGCACTCCCTTCTCCCCTTCCAAGCCTTCCCATTGTACCATGAGCTACAGAGGCCCCTGTGGGAAGTAGAGCTCTCGGGGTATCATCTGGAGATGGAATGGGGTTAAACCAAGAGAAGCAGCCCAAGGGGGAGGATCTGAGGTTAGGTGCAGATACTAGTCACTGTATTTCTCTAAGCCTTTCTTTCCCCAGCTGTAAAATGGGCATAATAATTGCAGTCTTATTTTTTAATCTGAAGATTTGATGTGTACCCAGAAACCTTCTTTGGTAGCATTGAAGCGTTGACAAGTTGTTACTGGGGGTATGACAACCAAGAAAACAGGCTGGGGTGCAGTTGGCTTTCTAAACGCTCCCTGCTGACTCAGAACTGGGTGTTTTTTTCAGGCCCAGAAGGCACTGACGCTGATGCCCTGCAACAGGACTTTAAAAAGCACTCAGAGAAATAAATCCAAAGAAAATAATTGGATGGAAAATATTAGTTATCTTTTATCTCCCTGGGAAACTTTCATTCCTAACCTGGCCTCAGGGAGGGAAAGAGTCTTCTGTATGGCTTATAAATGGGTTAACTTTAAGTATGACGAAAAGTCGGAATATGTTTTCCTATAGAAAAAAAAATGTTATAATTAGCAATGGAATTTGCAGTCTCTGCCCAGAAACTCCAAGCACTGCAATGCTGTCTATTTGACATAAGAAAATACGAAGAAATACTTCAGCCTGTCCCCYAAAGCCAACCGTAAGCTGAGCTAAGTCCCCAAGGAGAAGTAATGCGAACTAGAAGCAATAAAATTGGTTTGACGTATCATTAAAAATTTTATCTTAAATCTCAGTGACCATTTAAGGAGAAGTTAGTTTYGAAGGGTGAGCAGGGAAGACTTTATTTAATTATTTACTTTTAAGTTTCACCGAAGGCAACTGCGAACTCTTAGGAAAGGATTCCAGGTTAATAGCATCGAAATCCTATTATACATTTGATTTTGCTTCTGGGGCTTCTCCTCCCTTGCAGCTGGCAGGTGACTTGTTCCCCCTGTTTGCTGCTSCACCATGATTAACCTCACCGAAAGCAGGGCCTTGAGTTTAGCCAGAGGCAGCAGACTGGGGCTGGGAGGGAGGCTGGAGGAGCTAGCTCAGCAAGGGCGGGGAGAGAGAGCAGGGAAGGTCCTGAGTGAAGATCATTRTCCTCTGACATTTGGGGATTAGGACTGGCAGGGCCACTGCTTCTCATCCAGCCAGGTAACAGGTGAGGAACTAGATCAGGTGGCCAAGGGGCTTACTGCTCACCCAGCTGAGCTGTGGCTGAGCTGGACTATGGCCGAGTATCCTGACTCTTTTTAAATACATAAGAGAAAGAGATCAGGGCTGGGGCTGGGGCTGGGGCTCACGAGTAGCGCACTTGCCTGGCATGTGTGAAGCACTGGGTTCGATTCTCAGCACCACATATAAATAAGTAAAGGTCTATCAACAACTAAAAAAAAATATTTAAAAAAAGAGAGAAAGGATCATCAGGGATGGAACTGGTTGACCTAAGAGAAGTGAAAGAAATAAAGGATCTTTGTTGTTTCCCTGAAGTAAACAAAACAGATTAGGGATGAAATGTAGGGTCTGACMGATCCAGGCTGGTAGCCAGCAGGTGGCGCCATCGGCCCCACCGCACGCAGGGCAGCCMCTGAAGTCTGTGCTTGCCTTGCTCTGCCCATAGGGGGCAGTCTTGAGTCGCTGTGACCCTGCAATTCATATTGACAGATGACCCTGCAATAAGTATTTTTGAAATGATGGGGAAAAAAAATCACACCCTGAGCTCTTCAGAATTTGTTTTTAGAGAAGAGACTTTTCCGAGGGGTCCCTTGTATTGAACAATGTCTGTTATCCTTTGTAGGATGGTTCCTTATTTCACGAACAGTCCCATAAATGTGTCCAGGCTGTGAAGAAGGAGGTCGGTAACAGTTTCGTGCCACTCTTACGGGACTGCACCAACTTGGAYGATCAGAAATGGTTCTTCAAGGAGCGCATGTCATGAAGCGTCACTGTGCCAAGCAGCCTTTGAGGGCCTCTGGACTGTGCCCCACAGAGACTTGTCAGTATGGTGACCGGAGCCCACCACAAACTCGGCTGCTGTGCTTTTTTTAAGGGAACTTTACCATTTGTGAACATGTTGGATTTAGTAAGAAATGTGAATAAACTTTGTACTGATTTTGAAAACTTTTTAAAATGTTCCAAAATACCCATTTTTCAAGGGTAATCATAAGAGGTTGGTATTTGGAAAATTAAAACTTTATAATATTTTTCTATCCAGATATATATTCTATTGTTGTACTTTTTATTCTCATTAGTTAAAAAAAAAAAGATGAATCTTTTATTTTGGTACTTACAGAGATACCCAGGTATGAAGGTATTTGCCACGGACTTTGCACAAACTGGCTTGACCTCAAATGTTGGGTTAGTATTTTCTCAGTGTGGAGAGATGGACACAAGAGCATTGTATTGATTCCTTTCMGTCTGGAGATGGTCTCGACTTATTTAATAAAGAATGCTTTTGGTTATGTGTTGCTACCACAGTCAAAACTTTGTAATGTTCATGTTGGCCGGAGGGGGACTAACCAAAGCCGAAATCTCAAACAGTTTGATTCGCCAAAATAAATATAAACTTGAAAGGGGACTCCCACCAGAGCCTAGCAGGGGGGTGTCTGGTTGCTTTTAGTAATTATCAGTCTGACTTTAAAACCTGTTCCTGTCATTTACAATTTTTATCACACAATCGCGTCGGTATGAAATTCACTTCTCAAGTGTKCGCGTTGATAATATTTGATCATTTAGATCAGTGTCAGACTTTGGGCTGCAGCAGCACTGCGGGAGTTTATCTCGGTAATTCTGATTTCAGAACGATCCCAGATCCACCTCATCACCTTGGTAAAGTCAACATGAATGATTAAAAAAAGAACCTATCAGGGCGAACACCGACGGCAGGTCTGGGTTTTTGTGCCAGTCGATGTGAGAGAATGAAGACCCATGTCTTCATTGATCAAAGAGCTTCGCCCTGTGTCTCAATCTCTTTTAGGAACGTTCTCCTCCCTGAGAGATCCTAAGAGTTAAGGTTAACAGTCATCCAGAAACAACCAGTTGGTCTGGCTGGGATCCACCTGGTACATCGTAACTACCCTGAACTTCAGTTTCCTATCATTAAAATGGAGATGATGAGATCAGGATCAGGGTGGTCATGAGGATGAAAAAACAGTGAACAGGTGAGGGCTTAGTCTAGTCCCTGGCACACAGCATAGGACCGTTAGGAAATGTGTTTTATTTATGGGGATCAATTCTGGATTTCTTTATGGGTTGAGTCTCTGTTAAACTGAGGTGTTCTGCGGTTTCTTTTTCCCCTTCTATTATAATAATGCTTTTTTATACTTTCATGTGCACTGTGGGTCTCATGGAGTTGCTTAGCGCCTCATTTTTGCTGAGGCTGGCTTTGAACTCCCGATCCTCCTGCTTCAGCCTCAGGAGCTGCTGGGATTATAGGTGTGTGCCACTGCGCCCAGCTTGAGTAGCAAGATATTAAAGATGGAATGAGAGAAGAGAGCTCCTAGTTTGAAGAGATATTTGGATTCCACAGGTCTAGGATGGATCCTGAGGTTCTGTGTGTCCCATAAGCTCTTAAGGACCCGTTGCTTCTGGTTTGTGGAACATATTTGGTGGGGGGGGGGTACTGGGGATTGAACTCGGGCACTCAACCACTGAGCCACATTCCCAGCCCTATACTGTATTTTACTTAGAGACAGGGTCTCACTGAGTTGCTTAGCACCTCACTTTTACTGAGGCTGGCTTTGAACTCCCGATCCTCCTGCTTCAGCCTCAGGAGCCACTGGGATTATAGGTGTACGCCACTGTGCCCAGCTTGAGTAGCAAGATCTTTTTTTTTTTTTTTTTGGTGGTGGTGGGGGCTACTGGGGATTGAACTCAGGGGCACTCAACCACTGAGCCACATCCCCAGCCCTATACTGTATTTTATTTAGAGACAGGGTCTCACTGAGTTGCTTAGTGCCTCACTGTTGCTGGCTTTGAACTCCCAATCCTCCTGCCTCAGCCTCCCATGCCGCTGGGATTATAGGTGTGTGCCACTGCGCCCAGCTTGAGTAGCAAGATATTAAAGATGGAGTGAGAGGAGAGAGCTCCTGTTGTCCGGCAGGCCTGTCTTCCTTGCACGACACACTAGGTGGAGGTGTTGGCTCAGGAGATGTGACAGTGCTTTTGTGGAGGCCAAATCTGTTGGCCCAGCAAATCCCCCAAGTCAGAGAGTCATGGGATGGGAGACCTGGGAGGCACCCAGAGACGACCTGGTGCCCAATGTGGCTGGTGGGACAACTGAGGCCAGTAAAGGAAGGGTGTTGCCTGAGGTCACACAGCAGGATAGGGACAGCGTTCTCTTTGCAGTGCTTCACCATGTAGCCATCAGTGTTCGGAATTTGATCTGGGTTTGTAGTTTCCCTTCAAGTGTTACGATGGGCCTCTCTCCTTTTAAACTGTACCTTTAGAATGTTTGCTTTGCTATACTATATAAGTTATAACGTCATATTAGTTTCGTGGTTTGGTGAAAACTTCTAAAGCTAGGRTTGTGGCTCAGTGGTAGAGTGCTTGCCCAGCACATGTGAGGCACTGGGTTCAGCATTACAAAATAAAATAATAATAAAGTTATAAAAAAAGTTTTAAAAAACATTCTAAAGACTTGTCCACATGGCTCGGTGTATCAAAGCCACAAGATACRACGAATGGAAATACCAACCTCTCACTGTCTCCTAATGTTTGTAAGACTTAATACATTGTGCCCCAAATTTCTCATCTTTATAYGCAACTTTAGAAGCTATTTTAAAAACAAGTATCAGGCCGGGCATGGTGGTGCATGCCTGTAATCCTAGCCACTCAGGAGGCTGAGGCAGGAGGATCATGAGTTCAAAGCCAGCCTCAGCAAAAGTAAAATACAAAATAGGGCTGGGATGTGGCTCAGTGGTTGAGTGCCCCGGAGTTCAATCCCCAATATCCACCCCACCAAAAAAAAAAAAAAAATCAGTTTATCTGATCTTGTAAGGTGAGTTGGTGAGGATGGTGGCGTCCCGTCAGTGGCTGCTAATCGTAATCATAACAGTGACAATAATAATACCAGGAACTGGGCACTGCTCTCACACGTGAATGCAAGAACTTCATTCTCAGAACCCGGGGACACAGGCACAAGACCCGGGGTTGAGAGGTGAAGATGCTGGGGTTCAGGGAGGGTAGGGCACTGCTCTGAGGTCACACAGCTAGTAARTGGCAATGCTGGGGTTTGCCTGTCGTCTTACCCCGGGCTCTGTCACTGCTCTGTCCTGCCTCTGGGAGGGGAGGAGGGAAGACTCACTGAGTCCCGCAGCTCCTACCCGACCCAGGGCCAAGCCTCACTCTTGGCCTGCTTACACAACACGCCAGCCACGGCGTGACAGTGAAGGATGAGCTGTCCCCTCGCAGAGCACGGGAGGCCGTGGCTGATTTGTATCTCTGGGCAAGTACACTTTCTTCTGCGAGTGTCGACCGGGGACAGTGGGCCACGTGCAGAGCTTCTGGGGGAACTGACCCTGCCCTCCGCGACGTGCTTCTGTCCAGGTGGGACTGTGTTTCGGCCCCTGCCCACCCTCCATCCTTTCTCTTTAAAAAGGGGCGGTTCCCCCTGTGAAGATTCCTGCTCTGTCACCAGAGAGGCCACAGTCAGGGACCAAGCCAGCTGCAGCTGCTCCGCCCAGCCCTCATCCATCTCCAGATGCTCGGTACCCGGGGGACCGAGGGTCCTGTCCYAGCGGCAGGATGGCGATTTCTCTGTGAATCATCTTGAACTTTCTTCTTCAGGGCAGGGTCAGTGGAAGAGCTTGTGCCTGCGAGGGTTAAGACAGCCATTTCAGCCTCCCCTGAGGGACCTGCCAGATGGGTGTGCCTCTGGGCAGCTCGGGCTGATTGCGGGCTCCACTGGCTTCCAATTGCCAACTGTTAGAGAAGAAAGCAAGTCCCTGGGTTTAGGCTCCGCGGGGACTTCAGGAGGGGCCATGCTCACCTTCCTCCCTGTCTCTCGCTGACCCTAGCTGGTCCTCTGCCAGGAGGGGAGGTCCTCCCTTGACACGCCACCCCATCTGCTCCTGGGTGGCTTCCTAATGAAGCTGGAGGTCACTGCAGCTGCCCTTATTGCTCTGGACCCCTTTGGAGGYCACCCAGCAATGTCTGCCCTCGCTGCTCCAGGACAACCCCTCYGAGAGGATGTGTCCCCGAATATCCTGTGCCCCAGGCTGGCCACCCCAGCGTCTTCAGATCATCGTTGTGGGGTGTGGATTCCAAGGGGTTGGGAGGGAGTGAGGGCAGATGTCGGTGCAAATTCTTTTGCTTGTCATGAGAGGGGCAGGCTCCGTTCTGCGTCTCGGCAGAGACATCCAGGCCAGCCCAGATGCCCACCTTGTGGCTGATAAAACCACCTAGGTGGGCTGTCGGACGGGGAGAGGTGGAGTGTGTGTGTGTGTGTGTGTGTGTGTGTGTGTGTGTGTGCGCGTGTGAAGAAGGATGTAGCTGATGGCTTAAGAGAACACAACCCTTCATTTTCCAACGTACGAAGTCAGTAATAATGGCCTAGAATTGAAAAATCCCAAGAAAGGAGGGTTAATAATTGAAACACGAGGCAAATCCAGGAAGAAGTAGTTGAAAGAGTCGAGAGTGAGGCGTCTCTCCGGAGCCCAGTGTGGGGTGACAAGGGGTGAGGAGAGGTGGGACAGGGGTCTGTTGATTTTATTATAAACCTTGAGAACGATTTGGCTTTTTAAGCTCAGTGCACTTCTTCCTTTTGTATAAATCATCTTTAAAAATTCATCCACGTGGAGGCTGAATCCAAATTCATATTAGTAGTGTGTTAGTCCGTTTTCCATCTCTGTGACAAAACACCTGAAGAAAAGCAACTTAAAGGAGGAAAGAGGTATCTTGGCTTATGGTTTCAGAGGTCTCAGCCCATGATTATCGGGTCCTTTGGTTTGGGCCTGAGGTGAAAGGTGTGACACGGGAAAGCTGCTCAGCCCATGAGAGAGTGTGTGGGTGGGGAGAGAGAGAGAGAGAAAGCGCCAGCCAGCCAGTGACACTCCAGTGACCTACTTCCTCCAGGTAGGACCCACCTTCTAGTTCCCACCACGTCCCACTGGCGCCATCAGCTGGGGAACCAAACTTTTCACACTTGAGTTTTGGGGGGACATTT